GAAAATGTGATCTGTCCACTGGCAGGATTAGCCATAAGGTTTATCCTCCACAATCCTCAGGTTATCCTTGAAATACAGTACAAGATGTAAGGCTCCAGAGCTCACATCTGGAAGGGGCTCTGCAAACTCCTGCAGAAAGCTCAGCAAGGCAGAATAACGACCACAGCTGCTGTATGGGCTGGCAGATTTCAGCATTTCCACCTCTGACACAACTCTCTGAAGGCACAGAGAAAGCACAAAGGAAATGGACAAATCTTATTTGCCATTTTCATTTCAGTGATCTCAGCAGGTTCAGGTGTGTAGTGAATAGAAGCCAAAGTAAAAAAGTTTCCTGATCCATCTTTCCAAGTTCTAGTGCAACTTGTTATGATCAGCAAAAGCTGAAAGGATGCACATACCTCAACATTTATGATAGATTTGGGGGTTGCTCAGTTAACTTAGAGAAGACATGTCTCTGAAGTGTTTTTTTCTTGGATCATTTCTAACTCTACAGCTCCTCCATGTGGAGACCATCAACAAACAAGAAATTAATAATCCTAAACATTAGCTATTAATATATTTTTAATGTTTTTGCAGAGAACTAGCAATATTCTAAATATTTAGGACATTTTTTAGAATAATTAAGTCCTTTTCAGCCAGAACCTTTTTGAAAATGGGTGAAAAGCAGTGCACCAGAATATCACTGCTGAAGGTGCAGCATTTCAATTCCAATTCCAGTTTAAATTATCACTTTCCTCTCTGATATAGCATGGATACACCAAGTAACCTTTTATTAATTTTTAATTCTGTTTGTTCTTCTGTGCCTGTAGAGGAATCTCACATCTGTGTCCTACTTCATGCCATCAGGGAATTCAGGGACTTTTCTCCACTATGTGAGTTAAGAGGACCTAAGAAGTCCTTGTTAACAAACCTGCTGATTGGGAACAGGGCTGAAAGCTGTATCTGATAAAGAACAGCCTTCCCATAACCACTTCCCACTTTGCCCATCCACAGCCTTCAGAATCTGAGTCTAGACTATTTAAAACAATCTTTAATGACTATATAATGAATGTTATATGTGTATTATCGATGACACAGTCCAAATGACTTCAGGTTCTGCAGAGGGATCTGGACAGGCTGGATCAGGGGGCTGAGCCCAATTTTATGAGGTTCAACAAGGCCAAGTGCCAGGTCCTGTATTTGGGTCACAACAATCCCAGGCAGTGCTACAGGCTGGGGGCAGAGTGGCTGGAAAACTGCCAGATGGAAAAGGACCTGGGGGTGCTGGTGACAGTGACTGAACATGAGCCAGCTGTGCCCAGGTGGCCAAGAAGGCCAATGTCAACCTGGCCATTTGGACAGCTTCTGAAAAGACAAAAAGAGATTTTTGAAGGTCAACAAAACTCATGAAATTATCTCACAAAATAATTTAAACCCTAATTTATTTAAGCATTACATAAAGGGCAAAATCCACTTTTTTTATTTTTATGGCTGTCTTCTTGCCATATAGACACTTGTAAATTTTAGTTTTGGAATAATCAGTGAAACCTTGGCTTCATCAAAGGCCCTTTCCTGTTAACCCACGAATGTGTTCTCTGTTGAGCCAGCCACTCCAGACTAGCTGTTTAGTATTTGTACAAAGCTTTTCTTAAAACGTAAAACCACTAGGTTTTAAATATTATTTTTGTTCCTCTCCTTATCAGCGTTTTGTCCCTTCTCCAAATCATCATATTTAAGGCTCTGAACAGAAAGAAGTGAAGAGTAATGGTTTTAATTAAGTATAAACTTAACTAAACCAGAGAAACACTGCTGCATTCAGAGGGGAGATTTATATTAAACCCATGGTAAATTTCTGGAGTATAAGAAACAGGAAGTCACCTCAGCACCTCTCTGAGAGCATCTATGTTGTCTGCACATGCCTTGGAGTGGGGTGAGAGGAGAGGATGGGGCAGCACTCCTGCCCTCCTGCTGGGCTGTTTGGCAGAGGAAATTGAGAGGTCAGAGCCTGAATTTTGCTCACCACTTCCTCCATTGTGAAGCTTCTAGCCTAGTCCCTAGGCACTTCATTACAGCTGCATTTGTTGGAGTACCCTCATGTTACACCAGTAAGACAAATAAAGGGGCAACCAGTGTCACCACCAGCACATTAATTTTTATGGGCCACAGCAGTAGTGGCAGAGCAATGCAGGGTTTTTTACATCTGCAGCCAGCAGAATCTAAAAGGACACCTCTGTTTCCCTTCCTGACTAGAACCATTGTGAGCCCTGAGGCAGCAGAAGCCATCAGGGGAGGGAGGCCTGTGGTGAGCATGGGTTACACAAACAGTTCTATAACCTGCTGAGGAGGGCAGTGGGGAGGGGAACACCAACTTCTGCTCCACATCACACATCTGCCTAATTTTATCCTTGCTCTGTACATACAGCAGCGCAGCTGCTCTGGAAATCCAGACCTGGCCTCCTGCCTGTCATTCAAGCACTTTAATTTGTATTCAAGATGGGAAGGTAAACAACATGTCTGTGAGATAACACCAATGTCCTGTCATCTACTGACTGCACCTCTGCTTTGAGTTCTTACTCCTGTTCTTGTATATACCACTTCTATGTATGTACCACATACTTTTTGTCACTGTAAAATTATCTGTGAAGTCTGATTGGAAGAACTCTTATTTTGTAAGAGGAAAAGCAGGGAACTCCAAAAAAATCTCCTGTTGTATGTACCACATACTTTTTGTCACTGTAAAATTATCTGTGAAGTCTGATTAGAACAATTCTCATTTTGTAAGAGGAAAAGCAGGTGTGACTGACTCCTCTTCCAAGAAGAAAACAGAGACTGGGAAAGGCAACAGCAAGAAAAACAGAAAAAAGAGACAACCATAAATCTTCTACAGAAGTAGGAACAGCAGAGGGAAACATTGGGGAAATTTTAGTTTTTCCTTTGTCCTTTTGTGAGAGGTATCTCTCCCTTAAATCCATCCCCTATTAACTATGACATCTACTGAAAAATCAAGAATGCAAAATGTAATGCTGCATACAAAGCAAGAACGACCAGAGAACACACTTAAACAATTCTCTCAGAAAACACCAGAGTGCACTACTGCGTAACTGTCATCAACTCAGAGTATGTTGCTCTAAACTTTGTCCAGTTGGTCTTGAAAAGCTCCACAGATGGAGATTCCAGAGCAGGTCTGAGGAATCCATTCCTGTGTTTACCCTCCTTAATCCTCCTTTTCACTAAATCAGAACCTTAATCAATTAATCAACTGTTTAATCACTTAATCAATTTTTGACCAGGAACTCATCTTCTATCACACACATCAGTGAAGAGTCTGGATGTGTAACCTCTGTAGCTTTCTCATATGGATTGAGGATTGGCTATTAAGTTCTCTCCCCAGGTCTTCAGGCTGAACAAAACCCATTCCTTGGCCTTTTCTCACAGGAGGGTGCTCCAGTCCTGACCATCTCCTTTCTCATATGGATTGAGGATTGGCTATTAATTCTCTCCCCAAGTCTTCAGGCTGAACAAAACCCATTCCATGGCCATTTCTCACAGGAGGGTGTTCCAGTCCTGACCATCTTGATAGCTCTCCATTAGACTCGCTCCAGGCTTTTTTGGATCTTAAATAAGCGTGTCAAATACACATCTTTGCATACACAGGTTCTCCAAATGCTTGATTTTGCTTTTTTTTTTCATTATCAAAGTAGCAAGCACTTGGGATGCTTCCCCAGAAACCTAAACATGAGGATTCTGAGGCAGGTGGATACCTCACACTGCACTGAGTCATCAGCAGAAGTACAGGCCTGGGTATCAATGGTCTCACCACCTGCAGGAATCCAGACAAGCTTTTTTATCTTTTATAGCAAGAGGTTAGATGAATGAAATAGATTTCAAGTTTTTGGTACAAGACAAAGTTTAATGATTGGGCAATCATGATCTGGAATTGTGTAGTGAAAATTACAAATCTGTGAGTAAAGCTGGAGAAGTACTTCAGTCAACAATACCTTGCAGAAAGGTTGCAAGGCAAACACAGAGCACTAATAAATTCTACAGTATGAAGAATTTCCAGTTACATCCCTGCTGTGAAACTCACTTGGGAACAAAAGGGATCATTGTTAAATAATAATCTGAACATGAGTGTGTTGTAATATGACAACAGGCCATTAGATCTTGTTTTGAGTTTTGAAGAGATTTAGGCAAGTGCCCAAATTGCCAAGTAAGTTACTTTTCAGAATATCTACTGAAACCAAACATTAATAGTACCACTAACAATGGTTAGATGCATCACTAGTGGACACTTTTCATCTGCTATGTTCAGCAATATATTATTACATTACTCTCTTATTTCTAGTTTTTTCCTACTGACTGAAACTCATTATTGTAATATAAACCTCATAACACTGAAAGTATTAATATTCATGCAAACTTGTTCACAGTGGGAAAGCAATGACTCAGACCTGTAATTTCTCTTACACATCCTACCAACAATCTCTTAAGAAACAAGTGTCAAATACTGTGACTTTATACAAACAGCACCAGTTAAAATTTCAAGAAAGCACACCAAATACCTTTTCAAAAAAATCTTATTTTTATTGTTTGCACTAACTGTATCATCATTTACAGCTTTTATCTCTAACAAACTGAAGCAAGCCAGTACACACAAAAACCTATGCAAGGTCAAGCAGATCCTAGGTTACATAAATGCAGTACACCTTGGTGTCTAGCAAGCCCAAGGGCAGTTAGTTCATCCTAACACTTTAAGCACAGCCATTCCAGTCTTGTGAATTTTTCAGAGCTGTTAAAAAGTTTCATTTTTTCTTTAAAAAGGAAACAGCTAAAATATTTATAGACATTACTGATTTTTAACCAAAATTCTCATGACTAAATTATTACAATGCAGCAAGGACCATTCTTCAGCTGTAATACCATTGTTCTGCAAAACAAAACAAAAAACAACAAAAAAAAAAAAACAAAAAAAAAGAGAGAGAAAATTAGTCACTTTGCTGTTTTAGGCATAAATTATTAGCAGCCTAAATGCTAGCCAGCTCACACTGCAGATATTCCCATTTCTTTCAAGTTTGCCAGCTCCACTTATCAGCTCCTGGCTTTCTGTCTGAGCTGGAACAGAAGTGGATACAAAACAAATCACTTCTGCAATAAAGGGCTTTGCCTTTTTAAATGCTGGCTGAAAACCTGAGACTTACAACACAAGTGCCTGCATGGGATCCCCTATTGCCTCTACAGTAACAGACTCACAAACCAAAACAGTCCACTTGGGTTTTCTGCAAGGGATTTATGAACTAATTTTTTAGATTAAAATATTTCATTATTAACCAGCAGTTTTAACGAATAAGCTTTATTCCCTCAGTCTCAATGTAGTTTGTTCTAACTGATGCATTTGGCTGGATCTGATGCATTTGTTATTTATCTTACTTCCCTGGCATAAATCCAGAAGGCAGCACAAGAGGAAAGGAGTGACAGAAGGCAAAAAATAGCCCAATTCAACCAGTTAGAACTGAAATACCACAGGACTAACAACAGATAGGGCAAACATCCCAGTACATACCAAAGACCTCACAGGAGGCTGGATGGGAGTCCTGAACCAATATGGATCACTGGAAATTTAAGCTGCCCAGCCCCTCAAAAGCCTTGTAAAGTTAGATTTTAGCAAGTGAGCTTAGCACCTCGCTGTCCACATCCTGGAGACCCCCAAACAAAAAAAAAAAATGAACAGAATCATTCTTAGGTATAGTCTACTGTGCTTCCAGATCAGTTTTACCTGAAGCAAATCCTTAACCCCTAAGGATGCCAATGATGTAGGAGCAGACACCATGCAGAGATTCCCAGCAGTGTTCCCGTGCCAGTTTCATTGCTTCTGTTTCATTTTCAGACCCTTGACCATGTTGGGTCAGGTCAGAGTTTTGCCCTGCTTCTCCCATAGGAATGGAAGCTTTCCGGACTGATTTTTCCTGGTCTGCTAGATCTTCTGGCTCCACACCAGCAGCTATCTGCCTCATGAGAGCCTCTGGGGGAGCCTTTTGGCACATGGTGGTCTTCAACACTTCCATGGATTCGCAAGCGTGCGGGGCCTTTCTGAGCTCTGCGGCAATCTGATTCCAGTAAATCTTTGGATTATTTCTGAAAGCACGACAGACTGATGGCTTGCCAGTGAATTCACACCAGTAGGACAAGCCTTGGCTTTTGCATTCAATTCTAAGTTTCATCTCCTCGTCATCGCCACTCATGGTTATTGTGCAAACATCTTTGGTTTTAGTCCGAAATCTGATTTCTTCACCATTGCTTCTTTTCTTTGGCTTCAGCTTCTGCCCCAGTCCTCCCATGCCACAGATCACAACTAGGAAAAGGAGAGCAAAACTCTTCATGGTGAGAGGAGTGAATCGAGATCCCTGAACAACACGATCCAAAGAAGCAAAAGCAGTAAGTAAATGGCTGCTCACAATTTAAAGTCTGGTGCACAAAGAAGCCTCTTTCCAGCTAAACATGGGATGTAAGGGTTGGGCATTTTTATAAAAACAATAAATCACACTTCAGTAGGCAAATGCCCATAATTTATAGCCTGAGGGACTGTCAAATAACCTTACGAGTGTGAACTCCCAGGAAGGTAACAAGACAAGTCTTGTAAATGCAGTTAAAATACAGAATGATAGTTGTATAACTGAGAAGCACATTCCTATCCAGGATGAACATGTCACATTGGATTTTTAACAGATATTTTCCATTCTCCAGCTGCTTTACAGCTATCTTCATTCTAGAGCTTGTAAGATGATATCAAAGTAAAAAGGATAGAAGTACCAAAGCAGTCTCTGCATCTGGATGATTATAGATGTCCTGGTAGTGTAAGTGTCCTGGTAAAAAGCTGATTTGTGGAATGGGCTTTCTGTGGATTTTCACAGTAAGGATGCAACTTCAGCTCTTCCTTTTGTCTACACATATATGCAGTGGGGATGCAAGGAAGAATCAACTGCACATTCTTTGAGCCATGTATGTACACAAGAAAAGAAATAAAGCTTAAGCAAAATAAGGTATTGCAGGTCTAAAAACATACCAAACATCTGGAAGTTTTATCACCATTTGCACATCACCAGTCCCTTTCAGCCAACAGAGCAAGACAGCAACTTATCACAGTCCACAGCAGCAGGGAACAGACAACAGAGCATGTCAGGTATTTGCACTTCATCACTTTCTTTTTTTAACTAGATATTTTCCTGTTTGTAACAAGTGAGCTGTAAAAATGCTGTAAAACAAAGGCAGAACAGAAATACTGTGGTGCAGAATCCTGTCCTAGCAGTTTCTGCCGCACTAACTAAAAACGGAGCTAAGGAAGATTCATTCTAACTCCCCTAGCATTTGGAAGGTCATGAGGAAAAATCCTTCCCCTGCTGTGGCAATCCACAGTTCTCTTCTGGCTAGTAAGACCCCCACTAGGCACTTTTTCCAAAGACATATACACTGCAGCCAGCCTGACCTGACCAGCTCCTGGAAAGGGCTACTGGATTGTTTAGGAATGCTTCAGTAACTGTGGGGTGCTGGAACAGAACAGCATTTTGTGTATTTAGTCACTCTCTACGCAGTGCTAAACAAACACCAAGGCAAAACCATTCCTTTTAACACAGATGGCAAAGCAGAACATCATCAACAACAACAAAAGCTTCATTAATAGAAGAGGGCCAGGAGTTCCTCGCTGTGTGGCAGCCCAGATAACCTGAAAGCTGCCTGCTTGAATAAGCAGCCACCTGAACAGCCATTCTGGGTATCCTAACCTTGTTCTTTCAGCCAGTGTGACATCAGGTTCCCATGACTAAATACCATTTGACAGAGTGAACAATCTTGTTTTCTTTTCATTCCCTCTCCATGGCTATTTTAATAACATTTTTCGCAGAAACCTCATCTCCAGCTACTTGTCATTAGTTCCTTCTCTCCAGGCACAGTGGTGTGGCTCCAGCCAAGTCTCAGGACAACAATGGCATAAGCCTACTTAAGCAGGCTTAAGGTAGGTATGTTTTAAGACATACCATTCACTCTTGTTTTCTGGGGAGTCTTCTCACCCTACAGCCAGCCAGAAGAATTTTGTTACCCTACCTACTGCAAGGACTTGAGTACCTCCTAATATTTAGCAAAAAAATGTATTGTTTACACTTTGTTATGCACAACAGCACCGAGAATTTTTAGATTTGCTGAAGAGTCCAAAACAATTCAAAAGTTAATTTATACCAGTTTCAGATATCTTGTTCTCAAAGTTTTTCAAGGCGAATTATGAGAACAAACAAACCACAAGGATAAGGAGAAATATCAAAGCTTGGACTCAAATATATTTGTGTTACAGCTACTATGTTCCCACCAAGTGTTTGGCTCATTCTAATCTGACATTTCAGTCCTGTCTGCCTGTGCTTCAGATTAAACAGTTTGTGGTCTCCCATATGAGTAGAAAACAATTGTTCTTTTACAAGGTAAGCTAGGATGCCACCAGTGAACTGCAGGAGCTGAAGAACTAGCAAATGTTTAATTCTGCTGCCAGTGCTATACAGAAACAGGTATCCTGCACAGCTCATAGCTTGAATCCTACCATCTTTGCAAAATTCACATTCTTGGTGGAAGCTGGAAGCTCCCTCACCCAGAGTCAAAGTTATTTCAGTCCTTCCTGCTGCAAAAGTCAAATGTAGCAAAGATTTTTAATCAGGGTAAAGAAATTCACTCCCATAAGATTTTAACTCTGTGCAACTCTTCTGAGAGATGTCTCCACAACAAAACAAGGGAGAACCAAACATAAGGTAGTTAAGCAAGATCTTTTTTATTTAAATGAACTGGGAATATTTTCTCAAATTAAAAATAGAAACTTTTAAAAATCTGCAATTCTGAACATTACATATACACATATGCTACATACTGTCAATTAGAAATGTTTCCATCTATGACATAAAAATGAAAAATTTAAGGTTATTCTGGATTAAAGTCTGGTATCATTTTTCAGCATTTTTTAAAAATTATAATAATGATGTACAGGATTATCTCTACTTCAAGACAATGAACCCTGTTTGAAACAAAGTTAACAATACTGATAGATGAGGAGATACTATTTTAGATCAATATATTGACTACTTCACCTGCCAGAAGGTTTTACACTGGTAACAGAGTTTTGGCCTTGTTGACAAAGTCTATTGCTAACTAATTCAGCAATTCAACCATATGCCTAAATTTGGTAAAGTAACTCTAACAGTGCAAATGTTAACTCCAATTGCTAAACAGATTTGAATTTCAATATTGTAAATCACAGTACAGTATTATTTAGCAAAAATACTACCACTGCCTCCAGAAGAGCCACAGTGATACTATTAAGGACATTACAGAAGTGGGTGTGAAAGAAGAAAAGGAAGATAAAGAATATAAAGCATTCCAAAAATCGCCAACATAGGACATCCCTCATGCTCTTTTTGAGTACTACTGAACCCTAGAAAGCTTAGCCTTTTCACTATATTATGCATCCTGCACACCCCCAACCCTCCCACCCAAAGTTTAAAAACAAACTTCTCCAAAAAGTCCCTTTCAGGTTTATACAGCAAAAACCACTAAATATTAAATAATTAAGGGAAAAAAAAAAGGGAGAAAACAAAACTGCAACTGAGCTTCTCAGACACACAAAGAGACACTGTGGACCCCATTACAATCCAAATTTAGCCCAATGTAGTCATTCAAGAGCACCAAATAGCAACACTGATCATGCTGGTAAATTCATTTGTGAAGAGTATTATACAATCTTAAAATCTTAACTAAACACTTAGAAGTTTTAAGAAAAATGTATATACAAAAGTCTCTGGTATACAAAATGTATTTTTATGTAAACGTGTATGTACTGTATTTAACACAAATCAACAATTTAAGATAAGAACTTGAACAATTTTAAGAGAATTGCTAGGCAAAGGCTGTTAATCTAATTAATTTATATACTGTGATGTAAGGTAGAAAGCCCAGTGTAAAAAAGTAAAAAACCAAAAAAACATTTTAATCCAAGCCTTGAACAGTGGTATTTGAGAGGCAGTGCCCTGATCACAAAATATTCTGTACAGTAGTTTATGGCATAACATTCAATAGTTCATTTGGAATTTACAGTACAGCTGACATGAAACAAGTGGCTCAGGATCTGTCAGATGAATGGAAATGCCAACATGCTTGGAAGAACAATGATGTACTCCCATAGAAGAGTCTTGAGCCTCATTTATATAGCCTGGAAATAAGAACAAAAAATAATTCAGGAAAAAATTTATACAGACTGAATTTTCATATAATTTAAATGGAGTGAAGGGACAGATTTTTATACAAACATCAATATGACTGGAGAACTTTTTTTGGTCACAGACCTCACAGCATACTCCCGTTGCAGCAATCAGAGCAGCCTTCCTAAAATAGTAAAGTGGTCTAGAATTGATTTAAGTTTATTACTTACCCCTCAACATTTCCAGTATGTGTTACCACTGTTCCACAGAGCTACGTGAGAAAAACAAGAAAAAAAACCATAAAATAAACCCATAATTTTCTTTTGTCTATAAATGGAACAGAATACTGTGTCTAAGGTGAGACAAGCTCAGGCCTAAGACAGCCTCAATGCTTTACTCATTTAATCAAGTATTTTTCAAACAAGAGGAAACAGATTCATGGTTTTCTCCACCAATCTTTCAGGTTATTTTTGCTTCATTAAAGAAATAAATACTTGGATTGCCTATTCAACACCTCTCTTTTGTGCATTTAATCCAGCCTCACGTTTTGCTGCATTTGAGGCTATTTGTGTCCTTGCCATGTATATAAAAATACCTGTGTGAGACACATACACCTCATGTAGTTCTTACTTGTACTTACATATCCTAATGTTATAAAAATAATTGCATCTCTTTTCAGCAAAATTATCCAGCTGATTTTAAAGGATAAAAAAACTCCTATGGCATTTTTTAAACCTGCAAAAGTATAGGTGTACAGAGATCTAATCAAAGTAACGTCCCTCAAAGTATATCCAAAAATAATTTGTAGGAAATGAGAAAAATCAAGGATAGCATAAAAGCAAAGAGTATGCTGAAACTTAATTTTATTCATATGGGAATGCCATACTGAGAAATTCAAAGCATGTATGCCATAATTAGCAGTTTTTCAAATTACCTCAAATTAGCACATCAGAAGACAGCACTGCATCAAAATGAATCTTTAAATTTTAGCATTTTATCAAAATAAGTCAGGACTGAACTAGTGGATCTTTGTGTAAAAGATTATTTTATGCTACTAATTTTTAGGTTGTTCAGCAATGCTGAATTAAACTATTTATCAATGACTGAAATATCATAAGAAAACATGCTATGAACCTCAAGAATATTAAAAGTCACATTAAAGATTCAAAGATCAGAAAAGGTATTCTAAGGCCTGGAAAATTAATAATTTTCTCTTATGTAAAATATTGAAAGTCCTTAAAACTGAGAGTCCTTAGATATGCCAGTGGAGAGATCTTTGGACTTAAACTCCTTGTCAGTTAACCTGGGGACCAAGCACCCTTGAGTTGCAGAACAGACCACAACAACTGTGATCATAAATACCACCAAAAATATTGTTATAGAAAGACTTCCTTCAGAAGGAGATATGGAATGAAGATTTGGTCAGTAAATAATTATTGTAAAATACAGTGCTAAATAATACAAATAATACTAATACTAGTACTACTACTACTAATAATAATAATAGCCATCCTCATCTTCATCAGATGCAGCCATGAACTCTGTCAAGACCCAAACTTTGATCTCCCTCTATTCACCTGCTATTTAAAGCATAGTAGTATCTTCTCTATAAATACTCATTTACAGTCAGTCATGAAGTTGCAAAGTAAGGCACAGTGAGCTACAGACTTAATCATACATTTAAACCCTTCTGAAGCAACTTGCAAATTTTGCAAAACCAAATAATGAAGTTGTGGGATACAGAGTATTATCCCCCTGGAAACTGAGTCTTACAAATAGCTAATGTACAGTACAGAAGCTGCAGAGGCAGAAAATAACCCCAACATCCTCCTTTTTTTAAACATAATTAGAGCTTCTTGCTTTGTGATGCTACATTCTAGTCCTACCCATGCAAAACCACCCATTTTCTATGCTCATGCTTCCTGCATACCTGCAACACTTGCCTTTTACACAGGAGATCTCTTCTCACCATTTAAAAAATACAACTACTCAGGATGCATTTCCATCCTATCACTTTCATCTGCTATCAGAGCATTTTAATAGGTTTGTCAATTTAGGACCAACCACTGTGCTGACTAAATACCTGATTACGTGGATTTTAAGATCAAATTTACCAATTACTTTGTTAAATTGCAGGAAAGTACTTCTCTACCTGATGTTATGTAAAGAATATTTGAGAAATATACATTAGACAGCTTTTGCTATAGTGAATAACCATGCAAAAAACCCCCAGAGAATTATGAGATTCACTTTAAAGCATGGAGAAAATTGGAAATGTGATTAAAAGAGAAGCTGAAATAAGGACACATGAAGGCATGCAGTTTGAGACTTGGTTTACCTTGTAAAAACAGGATTGTGTATACCATATAAATGCTCTTTATGATAACCATTATTACCATTTTCCGTACTGCAATAAAATAAATACACCAAAAAAGACCATGTTAACTACAAGATGCACTATGTACAATATGGCTTCTAAGACATGTACATGGTTGATGGTATTACATGCAAAGATAAACTGTGTCTGTACAATAGAATATAACTTTTTTTTGGTAATATTCAAGATTTATGGCATAATTATAATTTTACATTTTATAGTATTTTTATATTTGCCAAAAAATCAATAAATTATTTTTCTATTCTTGTTTAATTGGAGACTCTAATATAATCTATCAAGTCTGGAGAAACAGAACATGTTACCTCTTTTGAAGTAACAGGTTACATTAAAAATATAAACCCTCCCATATTAATAAAATAATTTTAATAAATATCAGCAAAAGTCTTACATTTTCATGGGTATATTTTCGAAACTAAAAACACAGAAAAGGAGGAGCAATTAACTAGACTCTAATAAGTGAGTAATTTCAGCTGTACATGCCTGTTTCTGCTCTACTGACTTATGAATGTGTAATGAAAAACAACCACTGTGAAATGGGAGAAATGCAGTGCACAGGCTAACTGGACAATGAGCAAAACAAGGAGCAGAAAAGAAAACAGTAAAAAAACTGACAGGAAAATACGTAAGAATAGTTATCATAAAGTAAAATGCCAAGTCCCTGAGACAGAGGAACTGCAATTGAAAAAGGAAAGACTGGTTAGGAATAACTAAGACAGCAAGAAAGCAAATAATTAATTCAAGGAGACTATAAATCAGGCACAATTCACATTAACAGGTTACTTAGCAAAGCTAATAACTTGCACATTTGGAACTTATTTCTATAAATGCTGCTCACAAAGCTCTGAAGACCTCATTCTGGAGCAAGATTCCCAAAGT